CGTTTAGTTAAATGGTTTCCGTAATAAATTCATTTGGGTCAGATGGCGACTCTTTCTAGATAGATATCGCAACGCCGCCTGCTTCCTTCGGAATTGGTGCCCCAAAAGTACTGCCGGATGAAGATAGTGATGTTTAGGTCTGTATGTCTGTAATGGCGAACGCGCAAGTGCCGAATTTGCGTTTTTAAAAGCCTGTTAGCTATCAAAAATCGCGCGAAGGTCTGGCTAAATTTACTTCACCTGTAAAAGTTCATAATCCCTCAGGACTTGAGCTGATTATACATTTTTTCAAAGTTCCAGACTGTTTTAACACCAAAAACGTACTGGGTTTTCATCACAAAACCATAAAATGCTATGTTGGTTGACTCTAAAGTCGTCAAAAAGTAGGACTTAACTTGAAGCGGCTAGTTAGAATATCCGAGCTTTATATTGTTACGCTCCTTGTATGCCTGATGGAATGTGAACCTGACAAGGATATGTAAACGTAACATGTAATTCGCCGCTGCTGCATTATAACAAATGAGTCTTATGAGCTTTACGCTGGATGTGTAATTGATGCAAGTTCGCGCGTTCCTTACGGTTCGAATAGCTTTCCAGAGTGTAGTCTTGCTTGGGCATGCCGCAGGGCCAGACACAGAAACTTTGTGTGTGCCCAACGCTGGGCAACTTTATCCGATTGGTTATTCAATTAGATATCACATCAACCTGAGGGAAGAGTTTGACTTGATGTTTGCCAGAGATATTCGGCTGTATGATGACTATATATGTTCAAGTTCGTGTCGAATCATTGAATATATATTCGGTTTTTCTTGCTCGTACTTACTGACTCACCCACTTTTACGTGCAAGCTGAGGTCAAAATGTTTTCAGTTACCTAGTAGTCTTTAGGTCTACATTTTAAACTCTTGGTAAAAGCCAAATAAATTGTCATTTGGTAGCATCTTCAAAAGACGTCCTGTGGGTACATGGATATTTTTTACACATCACCCAAAATACGTTTAACAATTCGTTAAAAAAATATTGGCTCCCAATATGGACTGGCGATGGAAATCAGCCTCGATGGCAGTGGAATTCGACTACCCATAATCTCTTTGAACCTGGATATAAAACAATAGACTGTTTTGGTGGTTGCGTCTGTTTATGCTTAAGGTAAACAAGAGGCTTCGTCTCTAAGACTTAGCTGCAAAATGTCCCCCATTCATCACAGAAGCCGAGATTATGGTAAACTTTGAAGTCGCCCATATGATTGATTGTCTACCGTGCAGAGTCCAAATTGGAAACTTCGCATCAGAAATTTAAGGAAGCGTAATTTTGAAAAAGGTACATTTGATCGTGAGGTTCAAGTGAATTTGAGTTATGAGCTCGAACCACAGTCTGTCTTGTAACCGTTTGACGTCTCTGCCAAAATTCTGAAATCCATCATCTACATGAGTACGCAAAAGAAAATTTCATGTTCCACTCTTCGTTTCCTGTGCCTACGTTCACCTTTACGAATACAAGCTCAAAGACGATCTTCAGCAGCGCACATCCTTTTACGTGCCAATGAGTTGGGAACAAGTTAGCCAGCCTGGTGTCCGTTCGGCGGAGGTAAACCGCCATCCGTTAGCTTGAATGATTTTTATCCTTTAGTGACTCCTCACCAAGGATAGCTGCCCCCTCAAATTTCTCCCTTTTCAAATTTCAGTTTGACAAACCAGATACACCGCTAGGTTATCATTGGCAAAATGCAACATGATCCGTAAAAAACAGTGCTATTTGTGTTGTTGGTTTGAGATACAAAAGATTTGACTCTGGTCCGACTATGTAAAAAGAGGCTGTTCTAGTGTCCCGCCTCCGGGGAATTTTATGTCTCCGCAAGGAACTATTTTTCACGTTGTACGGAACTTAAATTCACTTGTGAGCAACCCTCTAGAAAAAAGATGGCAAATTCACTTTTTCCTCTTGATAACTGTTGACAAAATTAAAAGTTTAAACCCTGTCTAGCTTTTTGCCATACATACAGAAAATATGTAGGATGTTGTTTTGAATGCTTCAGTTACCGTCGTACATAGGTCAAATCTCAGCTATATAGGTCTATGTAGGTCTCAGCAATGTAATGCTGGATGTCTTCATTGACCGTTTTTGTTCAGAAACAAACTTGGGTCTAATATTTCGTGCCTCGTTGCCACTGTTCGTTTTAATGGAATTGCAGAGGGAAAGTGTGTTTCGGAAAGAACTTTAAACAGCGAGGTTTGCAAAATCTGGAGCGTCAGCAAAGCAAACATGTTTTGCATCTTTGAAGGTTCTGAACATTTCTTATTTAACGGCATCAGAGCGTCTTGCCAACTGCCCAGTCTAGATAAGGTCTCTGATCAGGTACTCTGGAACTTCGACCGGGAAATTTTCCAAGCACGCTGATCCAAAGGTCCTTGGTGTTATTGTCTTTAGATGTGGTCATTCAGAATATCAAAATGCTTACATCATTCTTATTTTCAAAAATAATGGACATCCGTCCACTCTGGCCGCATTTGTTATATTATTGGCAAGCCTACCACAAGGAAAAAATTAGTACAGGTACGGTCATACTTCTTCCGGTCAGGGACAGTGACGATCACTCTTGTCACAAAACGTATCAGCAGATTAACACCAAAATACGCGGTTTGAACGTTTTCTTCAAGGAAACTGCTCATGCAACTAATGAGGAATTTCCGAAAAACCCACGGACTGATAAGCCCCCCTTCGATTTCTAAAAGAGTATACCAACTAAAATAGGAGGCAGCCTTCATGCGGCGCATTTAGTTGAGGACAATATGATAAACAAGAGATTCAGTTATAATGCAGCTGTCTGTCGATAGAACCAGCTTGGTGTGAATATGTGTGTATTCATTGAATCGGTCACCTTTCAACGAAGCCCAAGAAGCTAAGGATACAACTAACTTAATGTTAGCGTTGTAAATTGCCCATAAAGCAATTTGGGACTTTAATAATTGAGACGCTTGATACGGTTCGTTGGGCACAAAGTGAGGTAGAATTCGCCCCAACATAGGCTGAAAATCTCTCTCGAAAAGCTCTTCATAAATATCTGGTTGACCCAATTCGAAATCTTGGGTTGCGTGCAAGTAACCAACGCATTATCAGTAGATAAACTCAGGATTTCTAACCTTTAGTTGACAAAATAACCCTAAAATCCTTTGGGAGATGCGTACACCAAAGCAACTGCAGCTTTGACTGCTTCAAAAAAAATCAATATCAGACAAGTATACACCTGAGATTTTATTGAAAGATTTAGTAGTAATATGAAGTTTACTTTCATTGTAGGCTTCTATTACCTGCCCAATTTTTACGGTTTGATTGATGGTTATTTTAGTTACAATGTCTTCTTCAAGCAAAACCCAGGTTTATGGATTGCTAAATTTGGGACAGGTACAAATCGCCGGTCACGCTCGTTAAGTTAACCAACCCTTAGAATCATTTCTTTTCATTGATAAGGACTTGGTTAACCATCTGAATTAACTATCTGAATTATTATTATCTAGATCTGTTTATTATTAGATATAAATAAATACCGTATAGCATCAGATTAGCATGTGGTGTAGTACAGTAGTATGCTAAGACAGTGGTAATATGCCCGAAATATGCCAGACATTTTCTTAGTTTATTGAAATCATCAGGTTGTGGAACAATGTATCAATCCGAAAATTGCTTCCCTTATATCTTGCGAGCAGAATACTTGTTTCAGGTAGATAGCTTCAAACACTCAGACAGTATGCAACAGGACAAGCAGTGAACCACAGCAAAATGGTGTGATTTAGAAATCGCTTCTACGACTGCCATTTACTGGGAACTACATATGCTGAAGCAGATTATGCTGTATACTACTCAGATATTCCATCAATTTTTCAAATGGATCTGGGAATCGGTTTTTCCCCTGATTTTTCACATTTATCTGTGCTAAGATTTCCCCTAAAGCAAAGTTACCGTTGCGTCATAGGTTAAGCAGTAATAAGTAATTGGTTGTTGATCAGGTGGCTGTTGATCTGTTCGCCGAGATTGGCAATTGACTTGCGGCGAACAG